AGTGTTACACTTTTCTAGGATAACTTCCCAGCAGAAAACACCTACTCTAAGAGGAATCGGTCCAACCTAGTCCTCCATGATAGAACAAAACACATTGAAGTGGACAAGCATTTTATTAGAGAAAAACTTGTGAGTGGAGAAGTGTGCACTCCATATGTCAGTTCAAAAGAACAACTTGTAGACATCTTCACCAAGGGCCTTCATCATGTGCGACATAGTAAATTGTGTGACAAGTTGGGCATAATTGACATCTATATCCCAACTTGAGGGGGAGTGTTGGAATGTTTTTCTTTATATTTATGATTGTATTCTGCTTAGTTAGGGCCTGTTTGGTCTGGTTAAAATAGTCTTTTTTTCCTTTGTTTATGTACTTTGACTATAGTAGGGGCATAAGGGTCTTTTCCCTTTTATTTATGGTTACCCTATATATAATAACATAAGCCGGCACCAGTAGACAGATTAGAGCTCTCCAAACCTTTCTCTCTTCTCTCTCTCTTCTCTTCTTCTTCCTTATTTCTTCTCTTTTCTTCTGCTAATAACCTTTAGGTGTGGATCCCGACCATTCAGATTTGAAAACATGTGGTTAACACACCCCAGATTTTTTGAAGAATATTGAAGATTGGTGGAGGGTAGAAATAAGTGGGGTGAAGTTTCACAAAAAATTAGAAAGCTTGAGATCAAAATTAAAAGAATGGAATAGGGATCATTTTGGGAATAGAAGTGAAATCTTCTTTGATGGTTCAGATAGAGGAATTGGATCTGAAAGAGTCCCAAAGAACAATGAACCTACAAGAAAGGGAGTTGAGATGGAAGTTAAAGAGAGATTTAGAAGAGGTCCTTTTGCGAGAGAAAATTTCATGGAGGCAAAAATCCAAATGTAAATGGATCAAGGAAGGTGACGGAAACACCAAATTTTTTCATGAATTAACTAATGGAAGGAGGAGGAAAAATCTTGTGTCTAAACTTGAAGTAGATGGTTCAGTTTTTGAGTCCCAAGAAGAGATAGCCAATTGTTTTGTGACTCACTTTAAATCTATCTTGAGGAGGCCATTAGGCATTAGAGAGGAGTTAGGAGAAGTGAGTTGGCCGAGACTTTAAGAAGAGGAAAAAGTTTGGCTGGGAAATTTTGAGGAGGAGGAGGTTAGGCAAGCAATTTTCTCAATGGATAGATCCAAGGCACCAGGGCTGGATGGTTTCACCATGGGTTTTTATCAAGATTGTTGGAACATAATTAAAGAGGACTTGTTTGAGGTTATTAGAGAGTTTGAGGATAAGGGTGTTATTAGTTGCGGAGTTAATGCTACTTTCCTAGCCCTGATTCCAAAGAAAAAAGAGGCTAAACATCCAAAGATTTTAGACCTATTAGTTTGGTGAATAGCATTTACAAGATCTTGGCTAAGGTCCTTTCATTGAGGATCAAAAAGGTGTTCTCCTCTATCATCAGCCAAGCCCAAGGTGCCTTTGTATAGGGAAGACAAATAATAGAACAAATCTTAATAGCAAATGAGTGTGTAGAGGAGATGAGAAGATCGGATAATAAAGACTTTGTTTGCAAATTGGATCTTGAAAAGGCCTATGATCTAGTGGATTGGAGCTTCTTGTTAGAGGTGCTAAGAAAGTGTGAATTTGGGGTTAGATGGTGTAATTGGATCAATGATTGTCTTACCTCATGCCATTACTCGGTTCTAGTTAATGGGGTTGTCAATGATTTCTTCCCAGCTTGTAGGGACCTAAGACAAGGTTATCCACTATCCCCTTTTCTTTTTACACTAGTTGTAGATACTCTAAGCAGACTGATATCAGAAGCGGACATGGTTGGGTCAATATAAGAGGTTGGAGAATAGGTAGAGATAGAATTCCGGTAACACACCTTCGATTTGCATATGACATCATAATTTTTTGTGAGGGTTTTGACTTGATGAAGGTAAGAAATTTGAAAGATGTGATAATTCATTTTGAAAGTGCCTCTAACTTGAAAATCAATTTTGAAAAAAGTTGTATGGTAGGGTTAAACCTAACTGGGGAGGTGATGGAATCTATAGTTGCCTGTTTAGAGTGTACCTGGTCTGAGTGGCTTTTGACTTATTTAGGACTTCCCCTAGGTGCTAACCCAAAGGAAAGCCATTTTTGGAACCCTGTGGTGGAAAATTTTGAAAAGAGGTTGGCAACCTGGAAAAAGAATTACATTTCTTTGGGGGGTAGAGAAACTTTAATTGGAGCAACACTTGTCAACCTACCAGTCTATTTTTTGTCAGTCTTGAGGATACCAAAAAGGGAAGCAAAAAGGATAGAAAAATTGATGAGGGATTTTTATGGGAGCCAGGGGAAGAGAAAAATGACCATTTAGTTAGGTGGGATATAGTGACCAAAGCAAGAAAGAAGGGGGTTTATGATTAGGGAATGTAGTTAGCAAGAATGAAGCTCTACTAGGCAAATGGCTTTGGAGGTGGCCTTTGGAGAGAGAGAGAGATTATGGCATGCGGTGGTGGCTAGTATCCATGGATGCTCCAAAACTGGTTGGGTTGTTGGGGTATCTCAACAGGCTTTGCTCACAACTCCATGGAAGGCAATTTTTGGCACACTCCCTAGTTTCCTCAAGTTTGTAAGGTATGATGTCTGCTCTAGAAATTCTGTCTCTTTTGGGAGGATGTTTGGGTGGGTAATCAACCTCTAAAAGACCGCTTTCCCTCTCTCTATTCCATTTCCCTTTTTAAAAAGAAGCCTATTTCAAGGTTCCTTTCCCCTCCAATTCTTCCTTTGACTTTAAATTGGCATTTTCGGTTTCGTAGAGGTATAAGGGATGAAGAATCAACCTGTGTCTCTGAGCTTCTACTTCTTTTAGACTGTGTGTTTAGATCCTCTCAAACCTGATAGAAGGAATCTGGACTTTGACCTCGAGTGGTTCCTTCACTTGTGCTTCTTTTTTCAAATCCCTTTGCTCTTCTTCCTCATCTGGGGTTTTCCCTATCAAAGAGTTTTGGTCAAGGCCTATACCTTCTAAAGTTGCTATCGTCTATTGGGAAGCTTATTATGGTAAGATCAATACCTTGGATAACCTACAAAATAAGAGACCTTATTTGTGTTTATCCCCAAATTGGTGTATTTTGTGTAAAGTAAAGAGTGAGGACTGTCACCACTTGGGAGCTATTTTGTGGAAGTGCATAAGGGCAGCTATTTTGTGGACCATTTGGGAGGAGAGGAATGCCAGAATTTTCCAAGAAAAGGAAAGAAGTTTAGTTGAAGTAAAGGAGTGTATCTTGAAAAGAACAATTTTTTGGTTGAAAACTTCAGATCTTTTTATGAATTATTCCTTTGATGATCTTTGGAAAAGCTGGGCAGAGGTCGCCTCCACAACCTCTAAAAAGAAGTGTAAAAGCTGAATGGAAACCTCCTCTGGAAGGAATGGTAATCCAGGGCCTTCAGGCATAGGAGGGGTTTTGAGAGATAATGATAGCAACATCTTATCCCTATACTCTAGATCAGTGGGTGTTGGTGACTCTACAAGGGCTGAGATGTTGGCTGCAGTACAAGGAATACAGGTTGCAAACCAACTTGGAGTGGAACACTTGATAGTTGAGGGGGACTCTAAGGTGGTAGTAGGTTGGCTGTCAGATCCAGACACGGTTTTCTGGGGTTATAAGGATCTTCTCAAGAAATTTAAGTGGCTGACAAGAAACATGACTGTAAACTTTCAGTGGGTTAGCAGATCAGCAAATGTTATGGCTGATTCCTTGGCTAAACAAGCGGCTTTGAGGGGTGATTTGTTCTGGGCGACTTTATAAGTGTATTTCTGTTAAGAGTGTGTTTATATTCTCTTTCCTAAGGGGAGGTAACATGTCGTGCCTCCTCCTAGGATGTCAATACACCTTTTTTTATCTAATTAATAAAATTATCTTTCATTTATCAAAAAAAATGTTATGAAGTTAGGCAGGGTTTGGTGGTTTGGTTTCCAAAGTTTAGGAGGCCTTTGCTGAATTGGGAGGTGGAAGAATGCATACAGTTTCTGTTCAGATTACAAGAAGCAGAGATCAATGTCGAAAGGCCTGATGAGAGATGGTGGAAAGAGTGCAGAAATGGAAGATTTACAGTGAAATCTTTCTACAAAGCTCTTGTGAGAGAAGTCAGGTTGGAAGGTCAGAGATTAAAGGCGTTTAGGGAAATCCAGTCCCTCCAAGAGTAGAGACTTTTGCATGGCTGATGTCTTTAGAAAGCATCCTGACGCAAAATAACATATCAAACGGAGAGGTATTCATCTAGCAAGCAGGTGTGCTCTCTGATTGAAAGAAGAGGCAGTGTTTCACCTTTTCTATAGCTGCAAGTTCTCTTTCTTTGTTCGGGGCTTCTTCTTCCGTCTCTTTAACAAAGAAATTTGGTCACTGGGTTTACCAAGTTTGCACACTGGCCTAACATACAAGGAAGTAAAAAAGCTAAAATTTTGTGGAGCCGTATTCCTTTTGCAGTCTTCTGGGAAATATGGAAAGAGAGAAATAAAAGGATTTTTGAAGGAAAAGCGTGTAACAGGATGAAGACATGCATGCGGATTGGCTCAAGACTAATGTTTGGGTTCTAATTTTACCAGAATTCAGAGAAGATTCAAGAAGTTCCTTTGAGGCAAACTTTTGGGAAACAATTGGATGGGGAAGGGTTTCGGGGTAGCTTGCTCTTTTTGATAAAATGAAGTAATCTGTCTCTACTATATGGGTGATTTCTCATTACCTTTTTTTATTTTTTATTTTTCTCTTTCTTATATTGTAATCTGTTGTACTCTCTAGCTTTCCTCCCTTCAATGAAATTTTATTTTTTATTTACTACCAAAAAAACAACACGGGAGTGATCAATGTGGCTTGAACAACATTCATAACATGATACCAGTTCTTTCCCTACTCTAGATAATGGAATCCATAAAAACTGACCTCATTCAAAACGTCAAATAATTAAATCAGGTGTTATTCAAGGCTAACTTTTTAGTTAAACTAGGTTCACGTGAATCAACTTAATACCTGAAATCTTGCTGAAATTGAGCAGAGACATGGAGGAAAGAACCCTGTTCTCAATCCGCTCACCTTTCTCCAAGTTTTCCTTCAGCCGAGGGACAATAGTTGAGAATACAGAAAGCTGGAATTCTGTGTTTGAGAATGAAGCCAGTGCATGGCTCAACCACGCCACTGTGATCAGGCAAACACCCACCAAATTCGAGTTTTCAGAGCCTAGACATTTAGAAATGGTTTCCATAAAAGGTTTCTTTCTGTTACCAAGCAGTGCTGCTGCCAAGTGCCTCAACCAAATTTCCTTTGCTTCTTCTTCTTCTTCCTGAAATTGGTAATTGCAACCTTAGAAATGAGTAGATTGGTGCTCAATGTAAACTGCAAAATACTAGTAGAGTCAGGCTAGTTGCAAGGGGTGATTGCATGGTGCAATGGTAATATTCCAAGTTGACAAGCATAAAAACACAAGTTCTGTCTGAGAGCAGACACTACAAAAAAATAAAAAAAAACCCAAATCTGTACCTAGTCCACCCATCTTAATATCCCAGATAGCTCAAACTTACATTGGGTAATGACCTCTTTTGGCCTTTACAGTCAGGTTAGTTGCTATTGAAACAATTGCATAATTTAAGTACTTCAGATGCTTGAAAAAAAATTGTTGATCTATAGAAAAATAATATTTTATGAGTCAATTAAAATTTTAGATTCTACTCAGAAAAACTAAAGTTTTAGATTCAAGTCTCAATCTCTAAAAACCATTACAGGGCACAATGAAATCATCTGATGGAGAAAGAAAAAGACAACAGAAAAAGGAAAGAGCTAATCCAGTAATTCACCTATGTGCTTAGAGTTCAGATTACTCTTTGTAACAAATTGTAGTAGTAGTAGTAATAAGAGTACACTGTTTAAGTCAGCTAAAAAGATTGTCTAGGTGAATGAAGCAGTATCCATGCATACACTTGGAATATAGTGCTGAATTAGAAAGATGGAAGTCGGATGTTTCATTTTACACAATTGAGGAATATTCTTATATCTAGATGAGAAGTCAAAGCACCAACTCCATTATGAGTCCTTAGGCTTTTGTTAATTTTTAGATAAATGGTTTTCACAATATGCAAAGCAAAGACTTCTGAATAGAAAGCACATCAGAATGTTACAAATTTAAACTTTAAGAAAGAACTCTGGTGGATTACTCAAAATACTTAATGATCTCAAATAAGAAAATGTGGAAAAACATTAGTTGCATTTTCTAACACGTCACAAAGAAAGAAAAAATAAAGGGGATACGGTATTTCAAAATATAAAACCCACCCATGGAATATCTTCATCAATTTGCACACTCTCTACATCCTTGTCAAGGGAGCCAGCTTCACACCAATCACAAAATCCTGATTGTCTTAGGAGCCAATTCTCTATTGATACCTCTCCTGAGAAAGAAAAACGCCCTCCCAAGATGAGAAGAGCTTTGCAGCACTCTTCCTGGCCCTTTCTATCAGTTAAACAGTGGTCCAAAGCCATTGTAATTGTATCAATAGCCTCTTCTCTATATATACTACATTTCCGGGGCTCTACCTGCAACAGGATGGTCTCAGAAGTCAGATCCATTGTTGACACATTTTTCAAGAATTAAACTAATATTCTGACTCCATGTAGTCCAAGCAAGAAAATATTTAGTCATGCCTTCTTTTAGGAATCTAAAATCCACCAAAAGCAGACAAGTTTTGAAAAATATTAGGATGCCAATCATTCACTTTGTCCTTGTAGGAAAATAATGGAGCCAGTCCAGCCATGATACCTTCATCTGAAAATATTTTAGCCTTTCATTTCAATGTGTTAAACATTAGAAATAACAAAGAGACTTCATTCATTATCATCATCATCATCCATGCCATATCCCAACTATATGGGGTCAGCTACATGAACCCTGTTTCGCTAATCCATTCTATTTAATATCATATCCACTGTTAAATTGCTAGTGTTTAAATCATTTCTTACTACTTCTACCCATGTCCATATAAAAATAAAATAAAATAGCTGTTAACTGCACCAATTAGAAGTGATCTGGTGCAAGTAGAGAACTCTAAAAGAGTAAGGGGGAAGCCAAAGAAATGAATATAAGTAACAATAAACAGTCCAAGGATTCATGTTGTTTATCCATAATAGTTGGGATTAAGTCCTTGTTGAGATGAGTATACCATCTCTACTTCAATCAGATTTTATGGTTTCTTTGTTAGTGTCAGTACCACCAAAAACACCAAAGTTTAATCAAGTTGCAGCAAAGAAAATAATTTTCTATGATGTAATTTGGTAAATATACTTTTTTTTATAGGTAACGAGTAAATGACAACATATAATGCTGCTCTTGGCTATCCAAGGTCTTGGGAGGAGTGTACTGGTTACAAACCCAGCCTCCAATATTTTATCACAAATTGACTACTCTCAGACTTAAACCTGCATTTTCACACTTTGTCATCCCATGTTGTTAACATGATACCAAGAAATTTCCTTTACTTCATTAATACTATAGAAATTTAACTGCAAGAGCTTTTAAAAGAGCCAAAGAGAAGGATCCTACCTGCCATTCCTAGGATAAAAAATATGAGGATATATACATCAAGTATCAAATAACCCAAATCCCATATTTCCATCAAAACAAAAGGAATATCAGTTTGTCACAATCTCATCCCATTGGTTCTTGATGTTAATTTAGTGTCCAAAATAAGAAAGCTGATGTCCCTACAAATTCTTGGTAGTGATTTTTACTTGTTTTCAGAGGTAAATCTACCTCATCTTCAATAAAAATAATGGTTGTGGTGTTACTAGATGGTGATTCTAAGTCAATTTGCTTCATCAAGCCACAAACCAGAAACAGTTAGGAGATCCAATTCAGTCATGGTTGAGAAACATTAGAATTGAAATTTGTTAAACAAGTTAGAAAATATAACTAATATATAATCAAGTTATCTTCCTAGGCATTTCTAATGTGCAGTGGTTTAAAGCATTGCAGTGGGAAGCATGGCACTGAAAAGCTAATGATACAAGGGCCTAATAATGTGATGAATGTTGGAAGGATTGCCCAAAGATAACCAAAATATGAATAATGCCAAAATATTAAAATACGGAATACTTATTAAAGTAGCACACCAGAAGATCAAAGTGTAATAGAAGAACCGCAACCAGAGGTTTCTGCTCAGAAGGAGAGCTTTGGAGATACACTAGCAAAACATGCATTGTGTACATTATGCCCTCTTTCAGCAAGTCATTTAAGAATGCTGTAATTTCTGTCCTCCTGTGCAACAACCAAAGAAGATAAAATCATAAAATCAAACTCATGCAGGAAACAACTATTGAATATCATTCTAGATACATAAATTTCTGCATTTTCAGATCATGGAAAAATGGTATACTCTAGAAGCCTATTTTCATGCCACATGAAATGAAATGATTTCATTGTGGTGTTGTTTGCATTTTAAAGCAACAATATAGTCTGAAATAGATCCTTCCTAATTAATAAATTGGAAGGTCTTTTCAAGTTTCTCTGAAAATGAATTCATTTGCAGCATTTCTCCAAAACCTGAAATAAATACATTTCACCTCCAATAGTGGTCTCAAATACCATGTCAAACTAGAATGGCATGATTTTCATGTGGCATCCAAGCAGGCAATTGCTTTTTAAGAAGAAGCATATTACAGTGACCTCCCCATGCGCAGATAAAAGATTATAAACTAGTTATAATAAGTCTAATGTCAAAGGAAAAAAAGGAGGGAAGAACATGACAATTAGAAATAGATTTCTCTGGAACATTGCCAGTACTTCCCAACCATGAATCATGATGTCTACCTTCACAAGTATTGTAGAAGACAACTGGAATTCACAAGCATTACCAATGATAAAAAGAAAATTTTCAGATGCACTCTTCTTTTTTTTTTTTTTTTTTGATAAATCAGATGCACTCTTCTTTTCCACAAAAGAATACTGTTGCAAACTTTAATTTCTGTCATTATATTAGAAATCAAGAATTTTTATAATTTCATCTCTGATGATCCCCGAGACACTTTCAGTGACAGGTTTGTCATTTTATCAATGAAAATCTTCTGTGATCATTCCTTTTTCTAGTCTCAGTCCAATTTGTTCATATTAACTTGGTTCCAACAGAATCTTCTGACAATGGCAATAATATACATAAGCAACATGCAGTATTGCATGGATAGAGACGGGTTTGATTCTGACGCATGACAAGGAGAGACTTGGTTAGGTGAAAACAATGGATTCAGGAACTTTAGTGAAAAAAAAAATGTATTTTTGCAATGGTATTTTGCGTCGTTCACGTATCTAGGCAAAAGGGCATAGTTACGTCAATATTTATCTTCAATGAACTAAAGGGTATCTCAGATGTTCATTTATGTAGAATGAGGGAAGTTCTTAAAGAATGCTGTGGAATTCCTTATGAACTTTCCCTAAACTTTCTGTTACTTTCTTATTTTCTGTTAAACCAAAGACAGCCTAAAGGTGTCATTCAAGAAGTTATTTGGAGTATGGATGGTGAATGCATGTCAAATAGACAAATACAGAACCTATATCCCACTTAGAAGAGCAGATGCAACACTATCGGCACAAGCTTCTGGATGCATTATGAGAATTTTAGTTACAAGAAAAAAGAGATCTCACACTCAATGCCACAAAAACTATGTAGTTTAAATATCACAAACCTTCCTAGGCAAATTAGTTCAGTCAGCAACAGCACTGCATTTGTTTGTGATTTAACTTGTTTGCTATGAAGGAGCTCAAGGAGAGATGACTTTTTAATATTTCTAGCTATGTAATTTCTCGAGCTCCCATCTGCCTTAATACAACAGCGTAGAAGTGCAACAACACGTGTCTTTTCTTCCAGGTTTCCTGATTCTAACCTGCGAATAAGAAACTGCAAGCCCCCAAGAGAGATAAGGTGTGTAGTATTTGTCATTTTTTCCTCCTTGTTTAAACAATTGAGAAGGTTCTCCAATATGAAAATAGCTGCTTCACCCTTGGATTTAAACCCATGTTCTACTGATCCTGCTGCTATTTGGGAAGCCAAAGCCAAGAGAATTTTACAATTTTCTGATTTCCAGCTATCAACAACACGTTTCAAAACAAAGTTGGCACTAGGAACAAGCAGGCAGTCCAATTTTCTTCCAGTCACTGGACATACTCTTTTTCCCTGTTTGAACCATTCCTTAATGGCCTCTCGCTCAAAGGTTTGACCAGTCTCTAGTGTCACTGGATCTTCAAACAAGCACCCAGTCAAAGGGCATAGAAATTCCTTGCGGATACTTGAGAAAAAGGAGGTTTCATTAAAATATTCGTAAAATCCATCTGACCCTGCACTGAGGAAATCTATGTGAACAACTTGCTATAACTTCACAGAGACTAGATATATGCACACACACACACACACAGACCATGGTTTTCACCTTCAGAATGGGATCTCATGTTGCTTATCTGCAACCAAAAAGAATATAGTAAATATTAGAATGGTCAGAAAACAACGATGAATATGGAGAAAAAAAACAAAAGAAGAAAAAGATTTCTTGTGCATTTGAAATGGAATTTTTACTAGTATGACCTTTGAATGCGATATATGAGTTGTAGCAGTGAAATCAATGGAATTATGCTGCAGTGGGAAAACAGACATTGCTAGCTTCTCGAGAATAAGCTCATTCGCTTTTGTATGTGGAAGCATAAGCAGCTCATGGGTGCTCCTCGGGGTTGTATGCCACAAAGAAATGTCTGTGATGTCATATTCTCCTACTTCTAGAAGAGTAACCATATCTAATCTCCTTGTTTCGCCATCTCTCATTAACAATCCATTTGGCTGCAGGGTGTTGAAATTTTAAGAGTAACAAAAGTTTATAACACCATCTTATTTGGTAAAACTAGAGGACAATTTTATGTTGACTGATCTACTTATAAACATTTAATTGTGACAAGAAAGAGAAGGGGAAAGATGGGCTTCAACTTCACTATGTTGCACAGAACTAATGAAGTCACAGTCCACAGTATAAGGAATCGTAAGTAAATCTTAAACCATGTGTGATATGAGATATGTTGGCACCTATTAATAGCTAAAACCTAAAAAGACTGTTGCATAGATAGAAAGAACACTAGTAAGATGTCACAATCATACATTTACATTAATGATGAGCTCCCAAATCTGTTTGATACCCTATGATACCTAGGTAATACAAACTAGCAAGTAGTAACCATGGTATGGAATAACATGAGGAAAAAGAAAAAGAACTACTTACAGCATGAGATGCATCAACTTGTAAAGTCTTGGGAGAATTTTCTTTAATATGCTGCCCTATGCATGTTCCTGGCTCAGGAGAGAAAATTACTCTTTGTCTGTCTTTTTCCACGGTAAAATCAAAGTTTCTCGCACAGATATCAAACTCTGCTTCTCCCTCTCCATCTTCAACTTCATCCAAGCCATCTAATTTATTTGACTGGCCAAAAACAGCAGTGTGCAACTTTTTGCTTATCATCATCTTAGGTAAAGCAGGGTCAACTTGGCCAGGTCCTAGCTCTGGAGAATTTCCATCTGAATCTCCATCCACTACAAGTTTAACTGACACTGAAGGGAATTGAATAGAAGGAAGTGCAGGACCTTCAACTCCCTCTGTGAGCCAGTCCTTGTAATAAACTGCAAACTGGTGAGTACCAGTATTTAGTACTTCATTATATGCTTTTTCAAGAAGCTTGAGTTTCTTCTGTCTACTTGATGTATCTGGTATAGAATCAGCTTCTTGATTGTACCACACCCTCAAATGTGTAAGATGAGGAAGGAAAAGGTAGTCCCACAGTTCTGGTAGCAAACTTGTCCGTGCTAGAAAGGGTGAATCACAGAAGACCTGCAAAAGATGTTTTGCAGATACTCTATCTTTCTTCTGGAGCTTATAGATCACACCAAGGTAGAGGTGTGCACAGGCTGATAAATGAGAATTGGGAACTCCAGATGTAAACCCATCCTTCAATTCTTTTGAATTCAAACCTGCAATCGCATTCAGCTGCAAAGAAGCTTTCTTCAGCTTCTTTGCATTTGCAGACTTCTCAGCAACTCGTTCTACCATATCCATTGCCTGTTCAAGATGGGCTATGACCTTGCTTTCAGCATGATGGCCTTCTTCCAGTTCATTAAAACTTAGGCAACAGGAACAGTTGCGGCGAAGTGATATTCGGAAGTACTCATCTTTGAGATAGTGTCTTATATGACCACTTAGAATAGAAATCAGGGCCTTTATTGCAACTTCATCAAGTGCAGGTACAAAAACTCTTTCCTCAGTATCAAGATGCCTTGTACTCTGAATATCTTCAAAATTTTTGCTGTTATGTGAAATATTATTTGATTTTCCATAAGATATATCTGGTCTCTGCAAACTTTGTCTCGAAATATCGGAGAAATGCAGTTGCCCAAGCAGATGGTTGTCAGCATTATTTTTGGTCCTCTTATCTTCTAGTATATCCTTATTATTCCTTTCTTCATATCTCCCCTTGTCCTTATCCCCCAAACCTTTAGAATATCTATTCCTCCCTATTTCAATTTCCCTCACTTCCTTCACTGACCTGTCTGCGAATCTCTCACTTCCCAGTGCATCCTTGAATCTTTGGTCAACTCTCTTACTTTGTATGGCATCTTCACGATACCTATTAGCGGAACTCCCAATCTCTTGCAAGTAATCACTAGAATTTCTTCCTTCTAATCTCTCAATTTCCTTGAAGTTCCTACTCGATCCTTCTAAAGTCCTATCATTCCCAATTAAACTGCCTCTCCATCTCCTACACCTAACTCTGTCTCTCGGCGGCAGTTCACTTTTCAACCCGTATTGAGAGCAGTCAGATCTGCCCCTCTCTCTCCCAATTCCAAAAGCACTGGATGAAGAACCTAAATGATGTTTCTCCTCAGATAGATAAGGTGGCACACTCACAGCTATGGATCCAAGAGCAGCTCTAGACCATGCTTTACTCTTTCCTTTGAACCCTTCCTCTGCAAAAAGTTTCTCCAAAGATGATGCCATTTCTGCTCCTTATGATTAATTTCCTTAGCTTCAAACTAGATAATTTGATCTAGCTTCTGTCCTTGGGGAAAGAAGTATATGCAAAATCAAGGATAACTACCTCTATATTTGAATCTACTGCATGAACACCATTGCCCTTGAATGAATATCTGGCAGTCCATGAAGAGGCAACAATGATTTCATTCTCCACTCGAGCTAGCTCAGGTTCAGGCATTTCATTAAAATATTCTGGGGTTCCTGATTGAGTAAAGCAATCTGGGGTGATTTGCTATGCCAAAAGATGCTTCCAGAGGGAAAGCATCTTGGACTAAATGATGCTTCCAGAGGAGGAAAAGACGACCATGCTGACATTAATTGACCAAGCACCATTTACTGCTAACTGCTAAGCAACAAAAGGAAAAACAGAAGAAGAAAGAGAGCGAGAGAGGAAGGCAACAACAGGCAGAAGGCAAAGGGAAGACGATGAGACAACCAATAGCAGACAAATGGAGAGGTTGGCTAGCAAAATCAATCTTTTTATGGGCAAAGCTTGATATTGCTGGCGGTCCCGCGTTTCACATTTCAACCGTTTCAACTGCCACCCTCTTCTCACTCTCAGTCCTCTCTAGGACTACATTATTTATTGGCCCAAAGCTTTAATTGGGGGCCCACATAATTTGCCCAAGATGAATTTAGAAGATAAAGGCCCACGACCACGAATGCTGTCCCCTTCTCCCGTCTGCAACCTTGCTTTGACCTTATAAAATACCTAAATTTGGAGTTGGCCACTAGATCTTTCTTACCATATTCATGTGGTGTTGCATTTCTTAACGTGTAGTGGTTGGCCGCCTTTCAATCAATAAAAATAAATAAATAAAAGATGCTTAGTGGACGACCAAGATTAAAGGGGGGCATGTAGAGACTTTAAGTAAGGTTTGATAGATCGAATGGCTAAAACTGAACATGTTCGATGCCTATGCCCCTACTATCTTTTCTGTTGGAGGTCCCATGAATGAAACTCTGTACTTTGGCTGTAACTGAGGACAGGGGCACAGAGAGCCTAGTCCAAAACACGCCCATACAACATACAAAACTTAACCAGGGGCCCATGGGGATGGGGCCCCAACGTCCAAACTATTTGACATTCGAAAAATGCCCAAGGATACAAATATTCTTATACCCCCTTGCACATGCATCTTGGACCAAACATCTAGAATATCATGATGTGGAGCCGTTGGACAGATGGGCGACCAACCTGAGAAGACACAATTGTTCTAGATGCATGGTATTCCCTGCACGGCAAGAGATGGGTGGAAACGGTAAGAAATAATGATGAAACAGGATTTCATGAAACAGATCATCAAGGGAACAGAGAGATCATCCCATCCCTTTAAAGTTCATCTGCATAATTATTCCTCTCATCAGTTGAGAACAATACTGTTGCGACAAATGAACATGGAAGATATATACAAAAGTTGCTGGAAAATATAATACTTTAATTCTTGATTAAAACAAAGCATCCTTTTTTTCCTTTCTTGACTCTTGAGAGTTGAAATAAATTACATTGGGGAGAAAATAAATAGTTTTATTTAGAGAATACACAAGGAGTGCATAAAAATCACTCAGGAATCAGGATTTTTCTCCTCCTTTCCATTATTACCATCTCCAGTGGGTGCTGTAAAATTTCGCCTTTCATCAGAAGAAGCTGTAATGACTGGCATCCATACATCAGCAGTGCTACTCAAAAGAGACTGCACCTGTGGGTCTGAAGCCATGGTTGAGGATATCTTCTCGTCTAGATCATCTAACTTTTCCGACAATTTGTCCAGCTCCTTTGCTATTTGCATCTAAAATAATGAATTCAACAAGAAGAAACCTGCTATGTGAAGATACTCATCTTTCAGATTGGAAGGAATAAGATAAACACTTCAGTAGATTAAATGGCTCTAGATGAACCTTAGAAGTACCTCGTCAAGATGCACCGATGGCTTTGGTGGCACTTTGGTAACCTCTAACCCAAGTGCTTCAATTTTAGCACGTAATTCCACTTCTTCTTGATTAGTTAATGTTTCTACCTACACAAACAAATATCCATTAGAGACAGTCATATTGAGCATCAGAGCATGCCCATCATCAAAACAAGAAAAGGGGCAATGCTGGTCTACTACAGCATAGCAATCACAACATTTACATGATTTTTTATTGGTAAAAATTTACATGATTGGATGAGGAATATGCTACCCCATGAGAATGGCAAATACATGCACCATACTCAAGTATATGAGCTGGAACTATCTGCATGATCCACAGAGAAGCTTCCAAATATGAAGAGTCCAAAAAAAGTGTAGGAATTATTCATAAGGACTTGTATTATGAAAAAAGCATCCTCCAAGGAAAAAACGTGGTTATCTATGTTCTCCTATCAGACTCCCCAACTCATCAAAAAGCAGATCAAAAATGAAATCTTATATCAATATTTGGTGGGGAATGAAAAATAAATTGCATTTTCTAGGTTGTCAAGCCTAATATTCATTCATTTGTTATTTTCATAAGTAATCCATATTACCACATGGGCAGTCTGTATGTTTCCATCAACAGAAACACTAATAAATGCATTATCGGTAAAATAATTTTTGTTGGACCATCTCAGGCTTCAAATTTTGTGACATCAGAAGGATTAGGACAAATCCCCTTTACACCAACCATAAGCACCTTTGGTATATTGCAAGTAAAATTTTCACTCATGTAAACTCAACTCAATTAATACTTGAACCAGTTACCTCCCTTGGACAGACAAACCTTGCCCACACATTCTGATCTGTCTACAGCCAAATCATTTGTAAAATCTATAGAGGTCTTCAAGTTTTTACACTAGATTAGCCCATACCTGTTTTGCAACAACTCATCTTCTAGGAACCTACAAGCAGCAGTAAGTTGGTGCTTTGTTTGGTCTTTGATAAATAGACTTCATCAAATGTCTGATGGTATCACCTACTACAACTAATTTATTTTCTATAAATAGACTTTCTTTAGTTTTGCATTTTCTAGCCTTTCCATTTGTCCATATGTCCTCGTATCAACTATGTTCACTGTACAAGCATGTAGCTTTTGAATTCCATCAGTTTATCTCATGGAGCATGGCTTGTCCTATAGTTGTCTGCTGGCACCTTTGATTTTCCCTTTATCTGATGGTATACCGTATACATATATCATCTACCATATAATACAGTAGAAATCACTAATTGCTGATTCAGTCAAGTTTCTTGTGAAAGGAAAGAGGGGGAAAATGAAGATTTCAGCAGTAGAGAATGAAGGAGAAGAAGAAAAGAGTAGGAGGTCAACCAGGATTGTGAAATTAACCCTAGCCGCCTACCTCTCATTATATTTATATTTAACTTAAAGATGAGATATTACAAGGATGCCCTTAGTAGGGCGGCTACTAAAAGCTAAACAGTCACAACTTAAAAAAAAACATAAACTAATGGACCTAAAGCCCAACAACTTCCTAA